CGTTCAAAGCCCAGCAAGCTATACGTGGGTATCAAAAATGCTAAACATTGTAGAAAAAAAACAGGTCTCATTACCCTGACCCCGAAAGAGCCCCAATTTCGCAGCGATGAGTAGGACGAGTACGGAGAGGCTGCTGAAATCTCAGGGCCAATCGAAGCTGTCTGGATTTCAAAGAACTATGGTGACGATCTGTACCTACAATGCACGTACACTTGCGTCCGAGTCCTCGATAGACGATTTGCTCATGTAAGCAAGAAGAATAAAGAACGACGTATTCGGCCTGGCCGAGACGAGAAGACACCACCCATTCAACGTCGATGATACCGAAGAGGAACTGTTTCTCGGAACATGTGACAGTAGAGGAGTCCGCGGTGTCGGCGTTCCAATCAACACGAGTTTGCCTATGAACATCGATTCGTACGAACAATTTACAAACCGAATCGGACGTTTACGATTAAAAAGACGTGGATCAATTCCGGCTTTGACAATCTTCGTCGTTTACGCACCGACATCAAACTACGACGAAGAAGAAGTCGAAGCGTTCTATATGGACTTAGAGAAGTTCTACAGTGACGACCACGCGTTCTTCAAGGTCATCGTTGGAGATTTCAACGCCAAGATTGGACCAAGAAGAACGTTTGGAGAACGTCACATTGAGGCTCACGGATTAGAATGGAACGAACAGGGTGAGCGGCTATCTGACTTTATCATGGTGACCAAGACAATCCATGGTAACTCGCAATTCCAGAATCCCCACCCTCAGCGCTGGGTATGGGAGTCTCCCAATAGGGAGTACCACAGCATTAATAGACCACATAATAGTAAATAGAACGTTTTGCCTAACTGATGTCGCTGTTGTCCGAAAATTCTACACGGGACCAGACCACCGCCTCCCTCCTGCAAAATTCTATTTCTCGCCGAAAGGAGAAAAAGTCGGTGAATTCCAAAACCGAAGTCCCAGAACCACCGCAAACTAGGACATATTCGATTCATTAGTCGGCTGTTGGGAAGATACCGTTGTCGATAACATCGACGAAGAATATAATCGCCTCATTCAACATCTTCACATTAGCTCACGCAATGGAAGCTCAGAGTTCGAAAGTCACCAAGAAACGTCTGTTTCCAGAAACACTCGAGCTGATATGCCAGCGTGGAATCGCACGAGCTGCAGGCAACAGCGAACTAACGTCCGAACTTGCAAAACAATGCAGACAGGCGATAAAAGAAGATCTTAGAGAGAGAAGAGCAGCAGTAATGACCGAGGTTGCAGAGGCTGGGAAAAGCATTTGCAAAGCCCACCGAAGCTTCGCCAATTACAAGACCAAAATTATTGCTCACCGGCGGCCAAACGGAACAGTTACAGCGTCCAGAAAGGAAATGGAAAAAAATCATTCACGAATACTACTCAGATCTCCTCGATAGCCACGTCCACCTTCCGCCATATGAAATAATGGAGGATGGATATGTTGTGCCACCGGTTCTGCCTTCCGAAATCCGATGTGCCACTTCGTCGGTGAAAAATCGAACAGCACCAAGTCCGAGCAGTGCAAGACCGGAACACCTGAAAAACCTTCCGTCAGTCCTCGTAAACACACTGGCTCGGCTCCTCACACGTTACCTTTCTGAATGCAAGGACCCTACTAAGTGAAAGACCAGCAAGATCGTGTACGAGAAGGGTGACCTGCACGATAATGACAACTATAACCCAATCTGCTTACTGTCTGTCGTCTACAACTTTTCACTCGAGTCATGCTAAACATGATTGACAGAACACTAGACGAAGAGACAGCCATGTGAGCAAGCATGATTTCGAAAAGAATTTAGTACGATGGACCACATCGACACGATAACAAGGCTCATTGAAGTATCGCGAGAGTAAAAAAAGACCACTCTGTTTCACTTTCATCGATTTAAAGATGGCCTTTGACTCAGTTGATATAGAAGCAGTCTTGGAAGCCCTTGATAGTCAAAGAGTCCCTACTCAGTACATAAAGATCCTTCGTGAGCTGTACAAAAATTTCACAACCAAGATATCACCATTCTACAACGATATTAACATTGACGTCAAAAGAGGAGTTAGACAAGGCGTTATCACCTCGCCCATATTATTTACCGCCACCCTCCAGAACGTCATGTGAACATTGGAATGGGATAATGTGGTAGTGAAAATGGACGGTCGGCAGTTACACCATCTTCGCTTTGCTGATGACATCGTCCTTATAACACCAAACATTAGCCAAGCGGAACGTATTATTGACGACTTTGATAAAGCCTGTGGAAAGATTGGTCTTCAACTAAATCTCACAAAAACGATGTTCATAAAGAACGGATTGGTTTCGCATTCCCCATTCACGTTCAAGGGAACGAATAACTCCTAATGCTCCAGTTGTATCCATCTAGGTTGGAAAATCAATGTGATGAACGACCTAGCTCCAGAGCTTAGCAGAAGAAAATCAGCGGACTGGGGAGCTTTCAAGAGCATCGAGGATGTAGAGAAGAGAACAAAGAACACCCGACTCCGTGCCCACCTTTTCGACTCAACGGTACTTCGTCCCCCAACGTATGCGTCAAAAACCTGGTCGTTGCGTCAGCAGGATGAAAGGTTATAAGGGAAAGGAAAGGTCACTCAGCATTATAGACCACCCAGTCGAAAGGACGATGCTAGGCGTATCTGGTTCCACACAAGTGAGGGATGGGTTCCGAAACTCCGATGTGCGTCAACGATCAAAATCAAAGATGCCGTTCTGTAGGCCAAACAGTCGAAGATAAGGTGGGCCGGACATGTAATGCGCATGAATGATAACCGATGGACAAGAGCCGTTAGTGACTGGATTCCTCGGGATGTTAAACGCACTGCAGGAAGACCACCGACTCGATGGTCAAAATTCTTCACAAAGAGCCTAGAAGAAAGATATGTTGCTCGACGAGTCGCTAGAGCTAGCAGAACCCACCGGGCTACCCTTGCACGCGGCAGGGAGAAATGGAAGATTTACTGGCGCCCGCTCGAGTCACTCGACGATGAGCGAGACTACAGATGATACAGATGGTATATAAATATATATATAACTCGTATGAAATGCTGAGATATTTGCAAAACTCCGGACCACAAGTGTATGCAGTGGAGAACGAACACGCGCTGTTGTCCTTACCGGGGAGCAGCACACTTCACCACTACACCATCCGGGTCATATACATATATATATATATATATATATATATATATACCGACATACACACAAAAGTGGTTAGAGGTTCTTGCAAATACCGGCGCCCAGGGCCCACCCCACCTTCCACCCATCTATGGTCGGGAAATTGGTGGTACCATAGTCAAGGAGTGTAGGAGCACTGATTTGACGCAATGGTAGACCACTGCGAATCATTGCGTGTCAGATATGCATTTACTCACCTCGAAAGATGATTCATGAAGTCGCGTTTACGAAGCACTCATCAAGGATCGGTCAACATAGAACGCTTCACCTTTTCCAGCTCCATATATGTATACATACGCTCAGACTGGCACAGTACATGTGAGGACAGTTCAAATAGAATAAATGTAAAAAAATAGGACGTGCATATACATATATATCTGTGTACATATACAATGTATATGCAGATGTAATACAATACACTTGACACTTGACACTTGAACGACCCGTCCTCACTGGTTGTGCAGACCCCAGCATAATTATCATTTATCGGAGATTTGCTGGCTAAGCCATCGTAGTTTCCTGAAATGCCGAGGTCAGCTTGGCCAAAGTCTGGTCTTTACCAGCGCGGCCAGCCCTTGTGGATCAGAGGGAGATTTGTCACCACGCGACTTTCATACCAGGACGGTGGTGGATTTTGGTATGAGTTTAATCTTAGCTAGGCTTCCTGATAAAAACGCTGGACATCTTCACAGATAGGGAGACCCTGCTGGAGGGATGAATCCCTCCACTGTATATTGCAACCCGACACCCAGAAATACCTCCCAGCCACGATGTGGCGGTAAACCGTTAGGAGGAATACAATACACATATGTGCATATACATATATATATATATAGAATATATATATGTATACGTATATATACTATATATATATACGCATGGATACATATATAAGTATACGATATAATATATTCTATTATTATATTGTATATCCATATATATCTATATATATCATATTACATCTGTATATATATAATTGCATGTATGCATGAAATCTAAACTGTGGATTATAGAATGGCTTTAAGACAAAGAGGTAATAAGATTTGATAACTGTTTCGAAAGACAAACTGTGGTGAATTCCATCCATCAGTGCATACTCTGCTAGGGTAGAGTCACTATGATGAAGTCCTCTCAATCGGTTATGGTCTCATCGAAGCCAAAAGTTCTGGCCAAGTGTCAAATTCTAATATTCAAGTAGAAGCATTACTGTGGCTCATCACCGGCAGCGTTCACCACTTTGCAGGGTGTCTTCAGTATCAATAGTTCCTTGCCGCAGGCAGAACGAACTTGTCCGAAAAATCTTTTTATAAATGATGAAATGAATGGAATAGCTTCTGACTGGACACGCCCGACATAACATCTATGGTCAACACGTTATCGGTGAAGTGAAAAATGTGAGAGGAAGTGCTTTATAGAGTAAAGTAAACCATTGAAGAAGACCTACATGAGAAAGCTGCTCGTGAACGTGGCAATTGCAGACGTCATTCGTTGAATTAAATATATATTCGTATCTGATGGAAAACACTTTTATGTATTACGATATACTCACTGCAAAAGTTCTGAAATCCTATAGCTCTACAAGACGAACCAAACAAGTTAGGTGTTGTCTGGATGCGGTAGAATTCATCTAGTCGTAAAGCGTGCGATTCACAATTCATAGCTTTCATTGCAGTTGCAACTCATTTTATTCTCATTATGTTCCAACAGCATTTGATCACGTTGACCCAAAATGCGTGCTTACAACACTTCTGTACAATAGACATCGTGAGACGGACAACTATCATATAGGCATTATAGTGTTTTCAACTGGTCGATCATCTCATCTAAGAACATTGTTATCTTATCCATCGATGCTGGGCAATGACTGCGTTGAAGATGATCCTAAAGATATGGAAACTTGGACAAAAAAATGTGTATGGAGTAACATTTTTTCGGTCGAGACTCCATGATAGGCTTAAGATTTAAAAATAATAAGCGTCTGGTCTAAAATTATTTCGAGAGAGACTACAATCCACTTACAAAGACAAATTTGCGCTTTGCCGGCACGGTGTCGAGGCCAAGAAGCGTATCCAAGTCTATGTCCACACCCTAAACATTCTAATCAGAAACGTACAGCAAATGAAAGCTGAGTGGTAATGTGAAATTTAATAAACTGTTCGGTCATTATGTATTACTCAAAAAACGCTTCCCTATGGTCTCCCAAATTAGGATCTCTATTGGGGCCCTAAAACACCCACTCCGGAAGATGAACTGGTTCGAACTACACGTGACCTTCTGTTACTTAATAGCTGGATAATGCAATTTCGAACACCAGTAATACTTTGTCATATCTACGGGAATTAGTCCAATTAAATAAAAACCAATGGGTCAGATTTGTCCTTGGATTGGATTAAATACAGGGTAACGAAAATATGTTTGCTGATCGTTCATCTATTTAGAAAAGAACGACGATGTAAACACAGCAATAACCAACATTGTCCTCGTTTCCATTGAAGAGCTTCGCCACCTCGGCGTCAATCCAGTTTTCAATCTGAAAAGACGAAAATCCCACTGCAAACACGGCTCAAATTCAAGTTAATGGTATCAATGGTAAGATTCGCTTCGCAAAATGAAGACAAGTGCAAATCTACTTGTTTTACAAATATAAAAAAGCGTGGAAATAAACTGGAGATACATAACTGGAAAAAATTGCAATCATTTATGTATGTAATAATTATTTATGTGTCACATTTTGCTTGCTGAGGCTATGATAATGTTTGATTGCGTTATAATTTGACCCTTCCAGGCTCAGGAGACGGCGAAACCAGCGAAGCGTCGGCCGGCACTGTATTGAGTAATTCTTGCTGTTAACAACCTCGTGTTCGCTCATGAAGAAAACAGTGGAAAAAAATACTGTCAATTTAAAGGTGAATAAAAATACGACAAATATCCTTAACAAGGTCTTTAGTGCAATGTGATGTTGTCAAAAATGAAAAACGACTTATTAACCTAGCAACATAATCCAGTAGATAACAACAGAAGACCTGGTGTGTATTCAATTTTTAGGAGTAGTTTAAGAAGACAGAATATGCAGTATATTCCTTATAAAACAATTGTAACTAATGATTTTTAGCATACCTTCATCCTTTTCCGAATCAACACCATCTGTTGCTTGCCATACTTCATTGTCAGCACACGTGAACGCTCTTCCTGAAAACAGTGATGGAGGATCGGTGATAAAGCAACGAAGGTAGTATTCCAAAGCATTACAATGATTTTAACAATCTACACTATAAAAGTATTGCACTCTACACTATGCTATACTATACTATATACCATGATATACCACACTATACTATACTATACATTACTTGCTAATATTTACTTATTTACATAGCCCTTCATTCCATTTGCTATGCGGATCCTAGCACTCCTTCCGTTCGATTCGTTTTTCCCAGTATCTATCGTTCACAATGGTCTCCGAAAATTTCGCGTGTGGCTTCAGATACTGCTCGAGGATTTCCTCTTCTTTATGGATGTCATAGAATGCTGGGCTGGTCGATTCTCCATGCAATATTGGAGACAGTCGATCTAGGACGTTCCCACGTGGATTGAAGAAGAGCGTTGAGGCGGAGGTCGAACTAATGCCTTTTGCTTCCTGATCGACGACACCAGAAGCCACTGCGTTATCCCCGCCTCGCGATGACAATAATAATACTATTAATAGAAATAATAGTAATTGTGACAGTAATAATAATAATAACCGTACGGAGTTATTTCAGGGACTGTCGTCCATATACCACTTTGTTAGTTATCTGATCATGAAACCCGACTCAAATTCTTATTGGAATCTTTTTCCCTACTTGCAATAGGATTTCAACGGCTTATCAACTGATCGTGATGAAGGTCTTCTTCTGTGTCAAAACTCAGTTTATATCGGTAGATTAGTACTTAACTAGGTGCGATAAGTGAGAAACAAATAAAAATTTCCATCTTGAATCCTGTTGAAGAGCAAATCTATGCCGTCAATAACCGTTGATCAACAGGATTTTTTTTGCAACGGAGTAGAACTACATCGATCCACATAGACCGGTGGCGCAGTGTCGACCTAGGAACAACTTGGCGGGGTTACCTCATCACCTCTGTAAGATTTCTTCCCCCCCCAACCCCTGGTCGAGTCCATCCTTCCAACTTTGGAGATAGCCGGGCTAAGACGTTCCCATGCGGATTGGAGGAGAGAGTTGAGACGGAGCTCGAACTAGTGCTTTGCTTCCTGATCGAAGGCATCACTAACCGTTGCGCTCTCAACACCGACAAATACTCTACCTTGTTTCAAATTCTTAAAACCACTAACAGTGAAATTTTTTAGTGTGATTTTTTCCAAGAAAAATGTTTTTTTTTTCGTGAAAGAAAACAAAAAACGACAACTTCAACACTGGTACCTTTCTTACCAAGGATATTTCGTTTATTGGTTCTGTGCTCATAAGAATTGTGAGTGAAATTCATTTAGAGAAATCTCTTGGGTTACAATATTATCCACTAAGTGAAGCATCTCCGCGCTATTAATCTGAGTGTTGGGCGAGCTACCCTGGCACAGAGCACATACCCTGCTTCTCCACCAGTGACTGATGATTCGATAAACTACGCCTGAACATAACTCTTGAAAAACACAGATTTGACAAATTACGTTTGAACAGGACATGATGCTTTGTTCCTGAGCCTAAATCAACTTCTTTAGCGTAAAATTCCATGAGTGTTGGAAGTCGACACCGTAATTTTAATAGAGCGGAGTCTTTTTAAAAAATCTCATTACTAAAGCAAATGGATTTTTTAAACACAATACCAATTCCGTAATTCCTAGTCCAACCAAATTTCGCATTACCGCTGTCGAAGCTCTTTCAGTAAATAGATAAAAAGCCTGCCATCATTCCCAAGTCTGGTAATTTGTTTGGGAAGTTGCATGCAATCCATAAAGGATTGTGGTGAACAACTAAGACCGCTCTAGCACGCCGATCCCAAGATTTCAAGAAGAATCTACTCGAGCAGCATTCAACGTCGTTTGTAAAAAAAAAAAGCAAAAGCACTCGATTATTATTCAGACCCATACGTAAATCCTAAGATCTTCGTGATTGATGGATACGAGAGAGCGAACCGAATGAAAAAATGATTGGATCCTCCTAAATACGCTTCTGGTCACGAAAAGATTTTCAACTTGCCATATTTGCAAAAAACAATCAAAATGAGAGTGTTAAACATTTGAAAGATCAAAATGTGCAAAGCAAGGATCACTCAAAATGAGTTAGAAAGTGTGCGCCTAGAATTCACGAAAACCTATGTGCCGTATGCAGGACTTTACTACTTTCTACAACGCGACTCAAACATTCTTAAGCGTATTATTTTTAATTTTGGCTCACTGTGACCGTGGCTCACCAAGCCCTCCATCCCTCCGGGGTCAGCAGATTGGTACCAGAGTTGTCTGAGAGGATAGCAGCACTGGCTTGATACATTGGTCATTGAGTCATTGTAAGGGCCAGATGGATTCGATCACCTCCAACGGTACTTAATGAATTCGAATGTATGACCGCATCCCTCAGGGATTAATCAACGCGGAGACCTTTTCTATTATTTTTAATTAATTTTTTGTCTTCATATACTTTAGGACTACACTGTCTCGTTAGCTTAAAATATTTCAAAAGCGCAGCATCTGTACTTCGTAATTCCACTCATTCTTTTCCCAACTCTATTAGGATGGGCCAATTTTATCATGCTTGAACCAGTGATCCGTTCCAGAAGATCCTATTCGATGCAACTACGAGGACCCATATCGTGAAGACGAATTGTCATAGACGTCGTCTCGGGTCAATCAGGCTCTGATGAGGGCGAGGACGCTGAAACGTTAGCCCAATAAAGTTTGATACTAACCGTATGTTACCTTATTAATGATAGGAATACGCATTGACTATTCAAACCAAGGCTAAATAAAGTTCACCAAGGAACGCTGGATAAATGCTTCACAACTTGTTGTCGGCTTCCAGCTCCATGATTTGTACAAAAAACCAGTTGCCTGTGCGCCCTTCTCCTAGAACTGCGCAAGAGCCGTCGACTTCATCGAGAAGTGGTTGGTCAATGTGCACTGCTTTTAGCTTAACATAGGCATAACAGAAGAAAGGCATTGTGACCGCCTGACATCGGATATCGTAGCAATAATTTCGATAAGTGGGCTTTTACAGCACTGAAGACCATAATTAGTCACCAGATAGCTACGTTTAAATTTATATAACGCACATAATTTTGAAAGCTCCAATGAAAACTTTTCCGTCACCGAAATTCCATATATTCTTTTGTACAAGCATTCCATTGTCGCTTTCTACGATAACCCTTTCCATTTCTTCCATATTGGAAAAATCTCTTCTCTATAAGAGCTCAAGGTTCATTGGGAAAGAAATTTTCCAGCACACTTTAACAGCCAACTCCAGTCATTGAGACTAACGACAAAGTACGCTACAGAATCACGGAAAGATGGGATATGGTTCAAAACACCCCGCTCGCAGCCATGGTCATGACTCTTCGGCGAACACCCATAATCACTTGTGGTCCAGCTTCATCGTGTCGAAACACAACGCCGCTGTGATTAGCCAGTTCTCCTGCCTTCATTTTTGTATCTCAATTTCGCTCAGCCACTTGGGAGTTCTATGAATTGATGGTGCGATTCCGCGGCAACAAGCTGTAATCAATAACTGCATTATAGAAGAACTCTATGCAAAGCATTTCTTTCCAAAGTTAAAGCTATGTTTGAGGTGCTCTATAGAACTTCAGCTTCCTTTCCAGATAACTGTTTCTTGCTTTTCTTGCTAGAGCTATTATAGAAAACCATTATAAAACATAATGTGGTGAAGATGATGGCCCTGGTTCTTCACATTACTAAGTATACAATTAACGCTTCTTTGAAAAATGTCCTCCCAACGGTTTGCCGCCTCATCGTGGGTGGGAGGTGTTCCGGGCTGTTCGGGGCTGCGATCTACAACGGGGGATTCATTCCGCTGGCAGGGTCTCCTAGGCTAGAAAGAGTCCGGCGTTTCCATCAGGAAGCCTAGCTAAGAGTAAACTAATACCAGGATCCACCACCATCCTGGTATCAAACAAGTCGCATGGTGACAAATATTCTTCTGATCGACAAGGCCGGCGACTGGCTGTAGTCGACCTAAGGCAGACTTTGGCCAGGCTGACCTCGGGACACCTGGTAAATACAATGGCTAAACCAACGAAACTCCGAATGGATAATATGCTGAGGCCCGTACAACCTCTGAAGACGGGCCGTCCAAGTATCCAAGTAACTAAGTATGAAAAATGTTAGCAAGATTGATGAAGTTTTCAAATACATATATGATCTTCCTTATAAAAGTGACGCATAGGTCACCAACTATCACTTCAAGACAGACCGACCGCAAACTTTAAAAAAGAAAAATACTTGGAGATCGCTTCCACTTCGAACCTTGAAAAGCAGTTTGAACGAAGCTCTAAAAAAAGCGAGAAAGAGCAGCTGAGAATCAGAATTTTCGTGATTTATTTCCCGTTGTTGCGTTGAAAAGTGGCTTTGCACTAGCTTAATGAGTGGTGCTGCATCCCAGAAGATAAAAACATATTGATTATTCATGTCAACGTCTCTTCTTTGATGACTGGTTTAAGAAATATTGATTCAATATGAGCTAGTTGATAGAGTACCGACCACTGCAGGATAGATTATCTTCACAGAAACAAATTATTATCGACGGACCACCAGTCAATTAACAACCGTCCTGTATAAAAAGGCATTGTCGAGTGAGGTTATCCATTTGACCGGTGCTCCACTCCGGAATATTCGACTCGATGCGATCGACGGCTACGACTTACCTCACGAAACGAACGGCTATGGACAACTAATTCTGATCACCCCCGTTCACAAAAAGACGAGAGCGCCGAGACTTTACCCGAATAGAAATTTTTTAACAACCTCTTGCAAGCTGAACAACCTGAAAGCATTTTCAATACTCATTTTGAGGTTAAATAATGGCCGGTTTTGGAAAACTGATGAGTTTTGTTCATGTACACCCGCTCATATATGCCACCTAGAGAAATGTTAGACTGGCCACAGCATTTTCCCCAGCAAGCGATTCGCAATCTGAGCGCAGTGTCAGCTCTTTGCATCGAGTATTAAAACCTTACTACAGTCGTTGAGATGTTGTTTTGTTCACAGTATTACCTCGTAGTACGAGTATATATTTCAACGCTGAAGTGGCTGAGCCACCGATCTAGGTGATCCAATAAATCATAGCATCTGCTACTTCTGCTTTTCTGCATAACTAGTTGAGTCATATCATGAACACCATAGCTGGAACAACTCATCGATGATTAAGGGAAAAGCGAAATGCAGTGACGTTTGTTGAAACGCTTCTCATACCGCGTATCGCACTCACAATACGAAATTCTTCGACATAGGAAAAAAGCAAGCAGATCTTGAACCTTCTAAAAAGCGAGGATTAAGCCACGGTAAAATACAACCAGTAGAAACATGAACTTTTATCCACAAAAATGACTAGTTCAAGTGTAAAATGGTGCATGGCATTCCCCACTGCCCTGTAAACCTTGGCTGTAGAAGAATCACCATTAAGTTTATTGAAAGACTTAGACGGAAAACTACAGGATAATCGTAAAATTTATTACCTGAACGTGCCTGTAGCAGCAGAACTTTTCAATTCAAATTTTCTACTTCATCGAGGTTTCGTAAAGCAGTGAACATAGTAGTTTTCCTTCCTTTCACGTAACGCAACTCTTCCACTCTTAGGGTAGATATTCTCAAGCAACTTTCATTCTAGACCAATCAATTAACGCATACGACCTTATGAATTGAAGCAAATGCATACGTATTGCCTTTTGCCGTCTACTTTCCCACGGAGAGTTTTTGTTTTCGTACTTTTTTGTACTAGCCTTACCAGATCTGCCATAGATTTTGTACCAAATATGCCTTATGTATGAAAGCCACTATCTAAACTTAATATTTTGCAAGAAGACATTTTAGTACCAATGTATCCCGTTGAAAACCTCGTGTTTGCTGAACAGAAGTAGAAAGAATTGTTCTATCGCGTGGATTTAAATCCATCGCAAGGTACTAAGATCTTTGTTGCACTTGCACAGTGTGGTACGAATGGTACGAATTCGGAGGGCAGTCAAACGCGACAACAAGATGACAAAACCCTGGGGAAACTTGCGTAGATGTGATTGTACTCTGTAAAACCACAATGCGTACACACTGCGTATTCGTCGATGATAGAGTGCATCTCTGGAAGCACTGCATATTCACCTCCTTTTCTCAATCGCTCGTTACATAAACGTTATACCCAAAAACATTGACATCACAACCTACAGTTCTTTGGATCGAGACCTTTTAGATGCTATTAACGCCCACTATAAGCACAATTATACTCTTCGTACACACAAATTGGTAGCGGTCGGAGGCGCCCTGCAACACACACGTGGAATCGATCTCCGCGCCCATGGCCCACCAAGCCTTCCATGCCTCAGGGGTCAGCCAGTTGGTACCAGACTTGTCTAGGAGGGTAGCAGCACTGGCTCGATATATCGACCACGAATAGTCATTGTAAAGGCCAGATATGCATTC